CACGTACACCTTTCTAATATATCACGTGAATAAGCTTGTTGAAGCTTATGACAGGGTTTTATTTACTATATTACAATTCACGTGATCGTTATTTACATACTCTTTTGTAACATTAATAATATCTGTAAGTCACCGCTAGGGGAAAGTGGTGTCAGTCTTATAATTCATGCAAACTTAAAATCGATGTGATTATCCAGAAGTAAAGTTAGCGCTTAAATGTAAACTAAAAATTTGACTAAACGATAGAAGAAATAATAAATGAACGTAAACAAAATTAAAATAGAATTCGCTACCTCACAACCCTGCATGGCTGTCTAGAGTTCGATGAAAACAAACAAATATAATAAATACAAAGTAAATGAAGTTGGAAATGAATAAGACAGAAAAAGAGCTATTTTTCACGACTGGACGTAATGTAAATGTATAATTTATGCTAATTTTTATCACTGTGATTTTTATATCAGAATTAAGGGTAGTACTTTATTTTTTTCATTTTATTTTAATATCGTAGTCTTTTTTCTTACTTCAACTTCTGGATACTGCATGGCAGTATACCCTACCTAAAGTTCGATGAAAACAAATGAATGTAATAAATACAAAATAATTGAAGTTGTAAATGAATAAAACAGAAGGTTATGTTTCTAGACTGAACATAATGTTAAAGTGAAATTCATTCTAATTCTTTCACGGTATTATTTATTTAAATATTAAGGATTTACTTCTTATTCATTTTATTATAAAATCCTTTTTTTTTTTAATTTTCGCCCTACTTTAACTTTCAGTCACTGCATGACAGTATGGTCCACGATAAGACCTATGAAAAAAAACTTAATAAATACGAAAGGATTAACTGAATTTGCTGCACAAATGTGTAAATGGTAAATTAATAGTGCACCAAGTCAAAGATCCTTAGGGTTCTGATACAGACCCACCCACATTATGAACTATTGACCAGAAGGAATGTAGCCAGATAGTAAAACTTATCACCTCATGGACTTTGTCCAGTTCATTCATTCAAATAAGGGATTTAGTGTCATTGTATAATG